GTTATGAAAGCGCTGTGTGTTTCGTTGTGAAAGCGAAACTACTTTGTTTGGCCTTCCAAAAGAGGACGATATTCGCTTCGTCATGCCTGGAGCTGATCCGTGCTGGTCGCTGAGGAAATACATCCACTTCGCTCTGTGGATTGCCAGATCGTCACATGTGGTTACCGCAAACCCGCCGGCCGCGCCGTTCTCAAGCCCGCCCGCCGCCGCTCACTCTAGCCTGCCGTGTGTGATGCTGTGTTTCGTTGTGAAAGCGAAACTACTTTGTTTGGCCTTCCAAAAGAGGACGATATTCGCTTCGTCATGCCTGGAGCTGATCCGTGCTGGTCGCTGAGGAAATACATCCACTTCGCTCTGTGGATTGCCAGATCGTCACATGTGGTTACCGCAAACACTCTCGCATGCGCAGAACGCACGTGTTAGTTTGCTGTCGGCTGTAGTCTGTGCGGTGTGTTCGAGCGCAACTTTTTGGTCCGGTGCTGCCAACGTGAGGCGACAACACCGTCGGCTTTCGTCGCCGCTTGTTCTTTGAAGTCGGCTTGGTGTGTCCCGGCCTTTAAGCAAAATTCATCCTTCGTTGTCCACAAAAAGCCTGATCACATCAAAATGAACTTTCCACACATTGTGTGTAAAGGGGGTTTGCCATCTTGACTGCTGTTCACTACAATTTGTTTATTTTCTCTATATGTTGTCATTAAAAAAAAAAAGTTTGCAATGCTTTTTCCAGTTGTTCATGATAGTGTTTTTTTTAATGTAGTGTATTTAATTTATTTATTTATAGATTTCAGTATATATACAGAAAAATATTTAGTGTAGGATTCACTTAGAAACAATTTTTACTAAGAAATTGTTAGTAGATTTCACACAAAATTACAAAGAAACCGCAAATAACGCATTGAAATAAATTTGAAAGTTTAAGTATAAAGACTAAATTAGTATTTTCTTGTAAAACATTTTGCAGAAATAGACTGAACTGCTCCAGTTTATATGCAACTTAGAATGTTCCTGCCATATAATATCCTATAAAACTTTACATGGTACTCAGACAACTTCTTTGCCCAAGCAAGAGGTCCCTTGGCCAGAAAAGACTGTATGGTCTTGCTATACAACTCTAAAGCAAAGCCATTTCTGCTCTGTTTCTCCATCCAGGCCTCATCAGGTGAATTGGGTGAGGGTGGATGACGATGTGCCGTCTCACGCGGTTATCACCGGCTCAGATCTCTTCATCGAGAACCTCAACAAGTCCTACAATGGCACTTACCGGTGTGTGGTGTCCAACTCTGTGGGCGAAACGTACGCTGACTACATCCTTTATGTGCGCGGTAAGTTCAAAGTGACCGAGTAGTTATGTCACTCCGACCTCTTTTTCTTTCACCCACTCCACCACTCCATCTGAGTCATGGGTCAATAACATTGATCTCAATGACATTTCCTTTCCTTTAGGACACGTTCTAATCTGACCATTTTCCTCTTGGAATTTACTTCTGATATCTTTTGCTGCGCTAAGCCTGTGGTGAAATTGCTGTCCTCCATTTTCAGAGCACAACAGTGGACTCAGAGCTATTTTAAAAAGGATTTGTGTTGCAATGAGGATCTTTTAGTGAACAGATATACAGTTTGTCAGTAGCGAGAGAGGCAAACCCCAGCTGATTCAGATTCACTCAGTCATTTTATCAAAACGATACTGTGAATAAGCTTTAAAGAAGCCAAACTTTTTTTTGTTTATGTGTGCGCGTGTGGGAACATTGTATGTTGTTGGTGGGTCGCCACAAAAACTTGGCTTTGCCCAGGTTGTGCGTGTTCCAAAAACTTGCCCCAGCACGAAGTGCAAATGCGCCAGTAATTGCGACAGGCTTTTCACACATTTCTCCCATGAGCAGCTTGGCAGTCGTTCCATGAGAAATTCATGACAGTTGAACCAACAGAATAGAAGAGAGAGTGACACAGGCACGTATGGTGCTTCGAGAGCTCAAATCCCTCCCCTATTAAAAACTGCGTTGAATATAACACACTCTATCAGGACGTTTTATGATTTTTACGTCTGATGCTACTTTTAATATCTACACAATTCAACCTCATATCTGACATTAGAATTGCTAATGCAGAAACGGGTCGGCGCGACAGGGCTGTCACCGTTTAATCTAGCATCATGCGTCTCTGTTGTGTTAACATAGTGGCACTCAAATGTATTCAACACACACATACATGTGCGCTCATAAAGACAGGCACTAGAGACATCTGGGTGCTCCATAGTCTTATAATTATTTTCCCTCAAATTAATAGGATGACATCTGCGTATTACAAACACAGTGGCCCTGACACATTCAGCAAGACCCACAGCGCTCCTCACATACTTTGCATATTACGGCATTCTGTCGAGGCACTGTTCAATTAGACGCTCTACTTTACAGAGATGTTAAAGGGAAGGCAAAATGAGCGTTTAGCAAGCTGTCTTGTGAAGGACACATTTTCATACAGCCGGTGTATGTAATGCATGGCATATTGGAAGGGTAATTGTGAAGCTATTCATGCATGGCCTTATGTAACCACTATAAGGATTGTTAACACTTTCAGCACTCATATATAATAATAAATCTGCAGATTTAGATGCAACTTGTCAAGTAGCGCCATGCCATCACACGTCAACATCATCCCAGGCATTCTGCAGGCTCATGAGAATATTTGAGGGGGCACCACTGGTGGTCCTGGCTTACTTAGTGCCCAGATGACAGGGGAACAAAAACACTTAAGTACGCTATATAAGTATAAGAACTAATATCCAGATATAGCATATAGGGTTTTTCTTTTATTTTCAGTTGTGAAATTGCAATTGAAATTTGACTGCCAGTGATCACCAAGCATTTAGTTGTTTCAAGAGCAGCTTTCATAGGAAAAGATCTTAAACATCATGAGGGTGGGCAGATATAGAGTTTAAAGCATATGATGTGCAGAAGGGGAGACTCAAATGGACTGATCAAATTAAGACTTGTATGCATGATTTATGCTGCAAAGTTTTAGATAAGCCTCTTTATTACCTACAAAATTCAAAAGATTTTGAACATTAAATTTGATCCTATGTATGTACACACGTGGACAGAATTGTTGGTACCCTTGGTAAATATGATCAAAGAAGTCCATGAAAATAAATCTGCATTGTTAATCCTTTTGATCTTTTTTTTTTTTTT